TGGTAAGTCAGACCCTAACTTCCATGTTGGATTATTTTTTAACTCAATGGCATTGTATAGTGGAAACGAGCCGTTGCTCTGCAAAGTGTTCCCCTCATCCTTCAGGGAGATTGCATCAGATTGGTTCCACAAACTACCGAAGGGAAGCATGAGGACTTGGGAAGGCCTGGCCAAGATGTTTGTGGCCAGGTTCATAACAAACAAACTGCAGCCATTGAGGGTGGACACATTGATGGCTCTGAAGATCAGTAAAGATGAAGGCCTTAGGGCCTTTGCAAAAAGGTACTATGAGGTGTTCAATCGAATACCCGAATGCAACCAAGAGGTGGCGGTCGTATCTTTCAAGAACAGCCTGAAAGATGATTATCCACTACGAAAGTCTTTGGCAAAGACATTGCCAAAAAGCATGGAAGAGCTCATGGCGAGAATCGAGAAGTATGCCAGAGCCGAGGAGGATACGTCGGGGAATAAGGAGACAAAGCCAGAAAAAGGAAACGGCTCGCCGAAGCGAGGCCGAGGTAATAATGGACCCAACAAACAAGAGATGGAATTGAGGGCTAAGCAGGCGGTGACGACTGTGTTCCGAATCTCGGTCCACAAAGTCGTTGATCAAATACGGAACCAACCCTATTTCAGAACACCAGCAAGGGCAGCAGGGAAATTTATGGGAAGAAACCTTGGTAGGCATTGTGCTTATCACAATGAAGAGGGGCACCCAACTCAGGGTTGAAGAGCCCTAAAAGCACATTTAGAAGACTTGGTGAGGCAAGGTCATCTGAGAGACCTTGTCGATGAGGCCAGGACAAGGGAAGAACAGGCAAGATTGCCTCAAGCACCAGCAGCCCCGCCTCCCCCTGGCCGACTTCGTGGCCGAGTTCACGCCAGAATCCATCGAACATCGGGCTCCGCTGAGCCAAGATGAATGATGTCTAAACAAGGAAGGAAAAGCCCAGCCAAAGGCAAAAGAACCAAGGAAGAAAAAACTCTGACCCTGCAGTATTTACATTGGCGACTCCTTTCGACTTTTCGTTGATAGGAGCTCAAACTGGCAGGGAGCAGGGACAGGAGTAGTATTGATATCTCCAGATGGAGAGAATTGGAACAGTCCATTCGAAGCATCTGCATAATGATGCCTTGGTAGTATCCCTCCAGGTTGGGGAGTGCCAAATGAAACGCATCCTGATCGATCAAGGCAGCTCTTGCGATATCATGTATGTCAGATGTTACAAGGAGCTGGGCCTTCACCCTGATGACATGGAGCAATCGAATGGCCCAATGGTCGACTTCAATGGAATGCCGACATGGCCATTGGGCGCAACAAGCTTGGAGGTACAAGCTGGCACTAAGAAGATCAAGATAGAATTCATCGTGATTGACACTCCCTTGCCATACAACATTATCTTGGGGAGACCGTGGTTGCATGCAATGGGGGCAGTTCCCTCAACATTGCATCAACTACTGCGGTTCCCAACAGAACATGGGATTGAAGAAGTCAGAGGAGATCAATTACGGGCAAAAAATTACTCCATGACAGCAATGAAATCCACCTGTAATATTTGGGAACCAGAGAAGGCAGAGATTGAAGAAGAGGACATGAAGGTCCTAGATGATGTCGGCAAAGAGCCGGCCGAGAAAAGTGAAGAAGCACTGAAGAAAATTCTCGTCCAGGAGGGCGATGAGGAACACTTCTTTCTTCTCTGCTCAGGCTTAGCCGAAGAAGAGAAAAGAGAGCTGGAAGCTTTTTTAAGAAAAAACATTGAGGTGTTCGCTTGGACACCTTATGTAATGCCTAGCATTGACCCCGAGGTCACATGCCACAAACTCAACGTTGACAGGTCGGCCAAACCTGTAATACAACGAGCCAGAAGACCGACGTTGATACACGTTGAAGCAGTGGAGGAGGAAGTAGACAGACTTCTGGAGGCCAAGGCCATCAGAGAAGCCAATTATCCGACATGGTTATCAAACACCGTGGTAGTGAAGAAGAAGAATGGTAAGTGGAGGGTCTGCGTAGATTTTACAAACCTGAACAAAGCTTATCCCAAATACAGCTTTCCTCTACCCAAGATCGACCAGTTGGTGGATGCCACATTTGGACATGAAATGATGAGCTTCCTGGACGCTTATAGGGGGTACCACCAGATAGCCATGTACCCCCCAGATGAGGAGAAGACAGCGTTTATCACCCCAAAAGGCCTGTACTGTTACAAGGTAATGCCTTTTGGGTTGAAAAACGTAGGAGCAACTTACCAAAGGTTGGTAACAAAGATGTTCAAACACTTGATTGGCCAAACAGTAGAAGTCTACATTGATGACATGGTCGTGAAAACCAAGGAACCAAAGGGTCATCTTGCCGACCTAGAAGAGGTCTTTGACATACTTAAAACATATCGGCTCCGACTCAACGCATCGAAGTGCGCGTTTGGAGTCGGATCTGGTAAGTTCTTGGGGTACCTAGTGACCAGAAGGGGCATTGAGGCCAGCCCAGATCAGATCAAGGCCATCTTGGAGTTATAGAGTCCGACATCGGCGAAACAGGTTCAAATGCTCACTAGAAGGGCCGCAGCCCTAAATAGGTTTATAAGCCGAAGTTCAGACAAATGTAAACCTTTTTTCAATCTGGTGAAGAAGGCTACGGACTTTCTATGGACTGAGGAATGTGAGGCCGCTTTGGCCGACCTAAAGAAATATCTTACACGGCTCCAGTTCTCTCAACACCTGAACTTGGGGAGGAGCTATTTTTGTACTTAGCAGTTTCAGAACATGTAGTAAGTGCAGTGGTAATTCGAGAAGAGAAGGGAGAGCAGAAGGCTGTTTACTATGTAAGCAAAACCTTGGCCGACGCAGAAACAAGGTATCTACCACTGGAGAAATTGATGCTGGCCTTGGTAATGGCTTCAAAGAAGCTGAACCATTACTTTTAGGCCCACAAGATTGTGGTGCTAACAGAGCACCCACTAAAATCCTTGTTGTAACAAGGAGACTTAACTGGAAGAATAGCAAAATGGGCAGTGGCCTTGGGCTAGTATGACCTGGAGTTCAGGCTGAGAACAGCAATTAAGGGCCAAGTTTTGGCCGACTTCGTGGCCGAGTTCACGCCAGAATCCATCGAACATCGGGCTCCGCTGAGCCAAGATGAATGATGTCTAAACAAGGAAGGAAAAGCCCAGCCAAAGGCAAAAGAACCAAGGAAGAAAAAACTCTGACCCTGCAGTATTTACATTGGCGACTCCTTTCGACTTTTCGTTGATATGAGCTCAAACTGGCAGGGAGCAGGGGCAGGAGTAGTATTGATATCTCCAGATGGAGAGATATTGGAACAGTCCATTCGATTGGGGTTCAAAGCCTCGAACAATGAGGCGGAGTATGAGGCACTGATTTCAGGACTGAAGCTGGCAGTAGTAGCAGAAGCAGATGAGGTAATAGTCTTTTGTGACTCACAACTCATAGTGAATCAGACAACAGGAGAGTTTGCAGCCCAGGATGAAAGAATGTCGGCATACGTAAAAGAAATCATCAGGCTGGCAACCTTATTTCAGAACTGCCGACTTCTCCAGGTTAGCCGAGATGATAGCAGCCACGCTGACGCGTTGGCCAACCTAGCAAGTTCAATACAAACTGGAAAGACAAGGACAATAATGATTGACTACTTGTCAGGCCCGAGCATAGAACCACCGAGCACAGAGCAAGAGGTAATGTGTGTGGACATGGGACCAAGCTGATGGATGCAATTGTTGCATTCCTAAAAGAAGGAAAGCTACCAAAAGACCGTAAGGAGGCACACAAGGTCAGATTGAAGTCGGCAAGATTCAGTCTGACAGCAGATGGACACCTCTACAGAAGGTCCTTCACTGGACCCCTTTTAAGGTGCGTACACCCTTCTCAGGTTGAGGATTTTTTATACAAAATTCATGAAGAGATTTGTGGAAGCCACGCTGGGGGCAGATCACTAGCTCACAGGGCCATTACCCAGGGGTATTGGTGGCTCTACATGCAAAAAGATGCAGAAGCCTACGTGAAGAAGTGTGAACAATGCCAAAGGTTTGCACCTTTGATACACCAGCCAGCTGCTGACCTGAACCCTGTATCCAGTCCATGGCCATTTGCCCAATGGGGCATGGATCTCGTTGGGCAATTGCACCAAGCAACTGGGTAACGGAAGTACCTGCTAGTAGCAACAAATTACTTCACGAAGTGGATAGAAGCAGAACCTCTTGCCAAAATCTGAGATGTGGATGTTAAGAATTTCATATGGAGAAACATAATCACTAGATTTGGGATTCCGAGAGCAATAGTTGCCGACAACGGAACGCAGTTTGACAGCAAACTTATCAAGAACTTCTGTGCAAAGTTCAAAATACAGAATTACTTTTCAACCCCAAGTTTTCCTCAAAGCAATGGGCAAGCAGAAGCATCCAACAAAGTAATCTTGGATGGGATAAAGAAGAGGCTGCAGGAAGCAAAAGGAAAGTGGGTAGATGAATTGCCCAACGTACTCTGGGCATATCGGACTACGCCGAGAAGATCAACAGGAGAATCCCCTTTTGCCATGGCTTATGGCACAGAAGCAATCATTCCACTGGAGGTCGGCATCCCAGGGATTAGAGCCCAGGGAGTTAAGAACGGGACTAATGATGTACTCTTAGCCCGAGATCTGGATCTTCTAGAAGAAAATATATATACACAGCCAACCAGTTCGGTTTCTCACCAAATCTCACCATTTTTTGGTGGGAAATCAATAAGAGAGTTATCTTTCTTTCAATTTCTTACAATTTTTCACTATTTTTTATTTTATTTTTATATGTCTAATTTATAAATCAAACATGAGAAAGAATTATCTTTCTCATCACTTCTTATCATTTCTCATCAAATCGCTCAATCCAAATGGGTTTAGTTATTTTAATTAACAATTATGGACTATAAATAATGAAAACAAAGTGCAAGAAGAAAAATACTTAAAGAAATTGCTGACATGTATAGTGTTGTTTTTATGACTGTATTATCAGCTTCCATGACTTCGGGGGCAACAAGGACTTTGGATGCTGCTCTGAAGAAAGGCTCCACCATTCTTAATTTGAAGTGTGTGGATGCTCAGGTAGTGCATTCTTTATTTTGCTTTATTTTCTCTCTTTCTTTTCTCTTCTTTTCTTTTCTTTTCTTTTTTTGGTTTAAATCATTTAACTTGTTGGGTTGTTTTTCTCTAATTTTGTTGATTTTGTTCTCCCCGTAGACAGGATTAATGGGAAAATCTCTTCTCGAGTTTCAGTCTACTAAAGGTGATGTTCTTCTTGCCCACAAGGTGACTGTCTAATGTCCACTCATTACTATTTTGATTTTGTTATTTATTACCTGTTATAATGTGATGTGTGCTACAATATATTGATTTGCCATGTCGAATTAATCATGTTAGTAAGGTTGCTTCTTCAGTTTCGTCACATGTTATGAAGTTGATAATTCTTCCAAGAATCTTTTTCTTCATTTTTCATACTTACTGTTTGTTTTTTTGTAACTAATGGAAACTGAAGTTTATAATTTTTCCAAGAAACTTTTTCTTCATTTTCATACTTCTACTGTTTGTGTTTTTGTAACTAATGGAAACTGAAGTTGATAAGTAATAATGTATTTTTCTTCCCCTTGCAGTTTGGGATTCATGATGTTGTTGTTTTAAAACCAAACAAAGCTGATCTAGGGTCACCTCCACTGGGTCAAGGTGTGGTTTATCGTCTGAAGGTAATTCTGCCTTCGAAACACTATATGGGTTATTGCATTTATTGGTGGTACTGGTTATTGTCATGCAAAATATATATATATATATATATATTTTTATTCTTATTTTTAATTGATTGAGATGTAAATTGGTTTTTATATTGAACAGGACTCATCAATCACTGTTGCTTTTGATGATATCCCAGAGGAGGGTTTAAATAGTCCTTTACGTCTTGAGAAAGGGGCCAATGAGGTATAGCTTTCACAAAAAAATCTCTAAAATATATATATATTTTTGCTTAGCATGAAAGGAAAATGGTCGAAACTCTAACAAGCCTAACAAAGAATGTTGTGCATTTAAATTGTTTTGTAGGTGACATACCGTAGGATTAAGGATACATTGATTCAACTAAGTAAAGGAGTGCTGAGGGGACCTGCTGCCGACTTAGTTCCTGTGCTATTTGGAGAGCGACCGCCAACAGTGTCAAAGAAGGATGTTACTTTCTCACTATTTAACACCAACCTTGATCACTCTCAGGTCCTTAAGCTTTTTTTGTTTCTATTTAAATGCATGCTATCTCTCTCTCTCTCCCTCTATATATATATATATACATATTAGCACATGTATATGCACACATATATATATTGATATATCGGTGTTGCTATATCCAAAACTATTTAATGTAACATTTAAGATGGTTTTTTTCTCACACCATATGGCTGTTCTATTTTTTTTGTGGAATACTTTTTTTTAACTTGTTGCTTCCAATTGATAATTCATTGCTAAATACTAATGCAATCATCTTTTACCCTTTTGATTATGGATACCCACACGGCTTCCATTGGTTGGGAATTTTTATTGGTTCATAGAGGACAGCATGTGTGGTTGACGTAAATTTTCTTTGTGGCGCAAGATGGTCTAGATTAATGACGTCCTTGTCCATTTTTATTATAATCTTTTGGGGGTTGAAGACACTAAAATTTCCATGTCCATTTCCCTAATTTAAAAGTTAAAATGGCTAATGTTAATAAGTTTGGCACTGAGAGTATCTAGTAAATCTTACTTGTATAATAACTTCTCAGCTTGTAGAACTGAAAATGTTAAGTGGTAATGACCATCTATTGGTACTTGAGATGCGCTGTGTTGCAAGAAAGCGCTATAGTTACAATGTTAATTAAAGCAGAGTTTGAGGAGATTGATTAGGTTAATTTGAGAGAATTATATTCCACTCAAAGTGCTTTCAATTTTTCCTTTTCGAGACGCATATGTTGTGCTTCAACTGAATGGGGAAACAATGGTAACAATGTCCTTAGGGATACTTGTACATTTCATGTTAAGTTCATTTAACATTCTTGACCATGATATATGCAATGATTTTGAACCTTTTTAGCATCCAATGAGATATGCTAAAGTTAAATGCTTTTGACTAAGGATTTCATTGGGGAGTATGTGTTGCCATGGAGTAGCACTGTAGCAACTTATTCCTGTGGAATAATTGGGCATGGAAAGCCAGTGAAGTTTAAGATGTTATGGCATTGAAATGAAGTAGCTCTCATATTATGTACTTTTGTGTTGGAAATCTACTTCATAAACATAGCTAGTATTTGAACTTCTGCATGTATATCTATGTAAATGTGCATCAATATTTGCTTAAACATTGTATTCATTTGTTTTCTAGGCTCATGTCTTCATTTTCGCACACTAAAGCAATTTCTCTTTTGCTTCAAGAAAGACGCCATTTCAAAGGCCCTATCATCAAAGAACATATTTTTGTTGCATGGGCCTCCCGGAACTGGAAAAACTACAACTGTGGTGGAAATTATCTTACAAGAAGTGAAACGTGGATCAAAGATTCTTGCTTGTGCTGCTTCAAATATTGCCGTTGACAACATTGTTGAACGACTTGTTCCTCACAGGTATATTGATTTCATTTCATCATTAGAAAAAACTCTTCAGGTTGATATCATGGGGGTATTCATCAAAAGTCAACAATTACGGCTGCACAACTCTCAATTCAAATTTTTCCCTACAAATCAATTTTTACAATTTTTTATTACACATTTTTCAATAAAAAGTCAAAAAGTTAGCCCAAACATCCATATTTTCAACCCCAATTTTTTAGTTCAAAAAGACAAAAAGTGCACTTATTTAGTCTTCCCAAACTTGGCCTAAGTAATTGATATTTCTTTAACATTTTCTTTTTTGCCTTCACCAATGTCTATTCCTCACATTTCGACGATAGGATTCATATAGCTGGATAGTTGAAAGGATTTTGTGTAACAGACCTTGGAGGTCTGTATTGTTGAGTTAGGCTTTGATATGATATGGCCTAATTCATCTTTTTTAATTGGGCCTCCTTTGTATTAAGGGAAAGTGTTGCTCACTTCACCTGAGAAAGTGTTCTCTATGATTGTACTCATTGAACCTATGCTTATTGTGTTTGTAAATTCCTGTTATACAAAAAATTTACCTGTAGTTTTGTTGAATTTAGTTGATTATGATTTTCAGTAACCTTATATAAATCTATGTACCTATACCAAACCCTCTGAGCTTGTTAGCTTGAACTTATCAAATGTCAATGTCATTGTGATGTTTACCAACTGCAAGTTCAATGCCATGTTAGGGATTTTCTCTGATCATACACATGCTGACCTGCATTGTGTTACTCACTTTCTTTATCTATTCCTTTAATTAGAGTGAAGTTGGTGAGGGTGGGGCATCCCGCACGTTTGCTACCTCAAGTCTTGGACAGTGCTCTTGATGCACGGGTATTTAAAAATATTTATTTGCTGGGAAAACTTTTTGGATCATGGAATTTTCATGCCTGATAAGATATTGATCCTTTCTATTTCATAGATGTAATGGAGATCTCTATTTCATTTAATAAAATTGCAACACATCATGAAAATTCAAAATCAATGGTCTATACTATCACGCCATGATAAGTTTCAAAGCTTTTTTAAACCATTTTTGAATTTAAAATAAAGATGTATTGATGTGGATCTTTAATAGCCATTAATCATTACGTGATAGTTATAGACTCTTGATTTTGAATTTTCACATAAATTTTGTAAAAAATAATCCACATTGAAAAACAAAAATAAAGAATAAAGCAATTTTCACATCAAATTTGTCAAAAAAAATAAAGAATAATTTTGTAATCCAATTGAATTTTGAAAAAGCAAAATAAAATTAGTTTTTTGTTTTTTTGTTGTTTGTGTGTGAATATAATAGCCATTGTTATTGCTTGATTTCAATGATTTGTATGTTTGATTCATGGAATTGTATTTACCTATTCAATTTGTTTCCTTGTAGGTTCTACGGGGGGATAATAGTTCTCTTGCAAATGACATCCGCAAGGAAATGAAGGTAAAAGATATAGAGAAGTAACAATAAAAGATATAAGAGAAATAAACATATTTCTATTCATCAAAGTTTTTAGTCCAAAAGTATTACATGTTGACAACAAAAGTAAATGCCCCACGGGCTTACAACTTTCCAAGCCAACACTTAGTTCCAAAAAAGAGAGTACTAACTCTACACAAAATAAGCCATTGGCTTGATATATATGTAATACACAAAAATAAACAAAAGAGTCTTCAACTCTCACAACCATCCAAGCTATGACCTCGGAGGCGACATAATACCTGAACCTGAAAATGATATCCCATATAGGGTGAGCCAACGCCCAGTAGAGATATGCTAAACATAATATGAGCAATGACTAAAACATTAGCATTTGATAAATGTTTAACTCACATAAGTCAGTTCTTAATCCATTTCAATTACATGACAAATGTGACCATGTTTCAATCTATTTTCCATTTCTTATTCACTTTCTCAATTCATAACTATGGCTCAGAATCTGGCCAAACAATTTAAATGAGATTACATCTCATATCAACAGTACTTCCATTTCAATTGAGATAACAACTCAAATTAAACACGTCATATATCACAATAGATACACGTAATTGCTATATCAATCTCAAATAAAACACTTCCGTACTTCATATATAATACACAGACTTGCTGTATCAATACTTCAATAGATACACATATTTGCTGTATCGATGGAGTTCATCCCCTATCTCCTCCCAAACAATATCCGGTTTAGGAGTCCATTCCCTATTTTTTCCTAAACCGTGGAGTACATCCCCTATCTCCTCCCACACAATACCATGTATATAAACACATATCATATACACAATCAATCAATCAATACATAAAATTTGATGTATTATTCCAACCGTCATATCCGATGACATATTCAATTGATTAGTTTTAGTTCGCCTAATCATCATGCATTGTCTACAACAATCAAGACTATCATCCACCGATGGCTCAAAGCAATTATTTCTAAACAGATAATAATTTCATTCAACAGATAAGTATCAACAATTTTTGAAGGTGAGTGATTAATAATTCCAACTCCACCATTCTAACACATAATGGACCAATTCATTATTTCCAACTCAATTTCATAATTCCATAATAAATGTCATTATTTACACTGATGACCCAAAGGCTCAAATATTACCAACAACATTAATGATCCCTTTTTGAAATCCAAAATATACCTATATGAGTCAAAAGACAAAATCCCTCTTTTTAATATAACACACCTCAAACCCTAACTTCCTAAATCGAACCATCTATACAAATAGCTCAACATTCATCCCTACCTCAAATTCGGAGTTCAAAGGAGGAAGATGAAGAAATTCGAAGTGCTCCAAACCAAGAAATTTTCGGATCAAAATGTAACCCTCGACAAACTCTACACTTTTTACAAAGGCCAAAGGGTAGGAGGTCACTCCTACTAGATCAAATCCTAGAGAGAAGGTAGTTTTAGAGTGAGGTGCTCTACAATGGTGGTTTTCGAAAAGTAAGAGAGAAAGGAAATCAAAAAGTGATCCAAAAAGGTGAAACTCGGACTGATATAAAAGTCTCCCCGCTCGAGCGTGGAAGCCCCCCCGCTTGAGCGTCAAGCATAGACTCACGCTCGAGCGTCAAAAGCGTCGCTCGAGCGTCGATTGCACACTTCCAAAAGTTTTGTAGGCGATGGTCCCCGCTCGAGCGTCAAACTCCCCGCTCGAGCGAAGGGACAAAATCAAAGGGTTACGCTCGAGCGTCAAAACTCCCGCTCAAGCATACGAAGACCTGCAGAGAAAATACTAGGAGATGGAAATTCACGCTCGAGCGTCAAAAAGCCCGCTCGAGCGAAGAAGCAACAACAAAGGGCCAGCTCGAGCGTCAAAAGCCCCGCTCGAGCGTGAAGGCCAAATTCTGGGCATCAATCTTTGGTTTCAAAACACAACTAACCTGTTTCAAACCTGCCCAACACAACCCAAGACTTAAATATAAAGAGTAAAGGATGAAAATGAGAATGAGACAACAACACATCCACGGAACCGAGTCCGGAATACAATAAATAAAGAGAGGAAAAACCAGGATCGCTATATATGTCTTCATTGATCTACAGTAATTTTATGATTATCACAGTACAATCTTTTTTTCAACTTTGTCCTAATGGATTTGTGCAGGCTTTGAATGGGAAGCTTTTGAAGACAAAAGATAAAAATTCAAGGAGGGACATAAGGAGGGAGCTAAAGACTCTTTCTAAAGAAGAGCGTGAAAGGCAAGTGCTAGCCGTTGCAGATGTAATCAAAAGTTCTGATGTGGTGTTGACGACATTGACTGGTGCATTGTCCCGAAAGTTGGAGGGTACTTCATTTGATTTGGTGATTATTGATGAAGCTGCTCAGGCACTTGAGATAGCATGTTGGATAAAAGGTAAATAGGAAGACATATCTGACATCTTTCTCTAAACGTGTTTTTACCTGGAAAGGAGCCCAATCATTAATTCCAATCCCTGATTTGTTAATACATGAAACACATTTTAACACTTCATGCATTGGTTCTAATATATGAGTTTTCTGTTTTAGGGTTCAAGATGTATACTTGCAGGAGACCACCTCCAGCTTCCTCCAACCATTCAGAGCGTAGAAGCCGAGGAGAAGGGTTTAGGGAGAACCCTCTTTGAACGCCTCACAGACTTGTGTGGTGATGAAGTCACGTCTATGCTCACTGTCCAATACCGCATGCATGAGCTCATAATGACTTGGTCATCTAAAGAGCTTTACAACAGTAAGGTGCTCAGATCATACCCAGATGTTGATTCACATAGTAAAATTTCTTTATTGATGAAGAATGATTGTTCAGTTGTTTTTAGTATTTTTTATGTGATATTTTGCTGCTGTTTTTTTACAGATCGAAGCTCATCCATGTGTTGCTGCACACATGCTGTATGACCTTGAGGGGGTAAAGAAGTCTTCTTCAACCAAACCAACTCTAATTCTCATAGACATAGCTGGGTATGCAGCTGATTTTTGATGTTTGCCACACAGGCTCAGTTTCACTTGGCAATTGATTAGAGTTTTCTGCATTGAGTATCGAACCACGTTGAAATTAATCTTTTCTGTTATTTTTAGGTAGAACTTTGAAATGAAATTATACATGCTTTATAAGATTTGAATGCTCAAAATCATATTATCATGGGATGATAATTAGGAGGGGGGAAAAATATCGACATATGGATTAGAGATGTTTAAAATGAGACACTTCTTATAAACCCTTCGAAGCATCTTATTTTTAAATATAGACAATCATTTGAAACGTTACAATATCATTTGTTATGCTGTAAGAAGAGAATGGAATGATTTTATTTAAGAATTCCGTGCTACTGCTTTAAGTGGTTCACTCCAATCTGTTTCAGATGCGACATGGAGGAAAAGAAAGATGAAGAAGACAGCAGAATGAATGAGGGCGAAGCTGAGGTGGCCATTACCCATGCAAAGAGACTTGTTCAGAGTGGAGTCCAAGCTTCTGATATTGGAATCATTTCCCCTTACACAGCACAGGTAAAAAAACAAAAAATAATAACAATAAATTAAAGAATAACTTTTTTAATGTTCAATCGAAGGCCTCATTGCAGTGAATTTGGTTTCACAGAACAGGATTAAAATACCCATTATGAATATTATGACCTATTATTTTGTTCTATGTATACTATCGTAGGTTGTCTTACTGAAGATGATGAGAAGCAATGAAGACAAGCTAAAAGATATGGAGATATCAACAGTTGATGGCTTTCAAGGCCGAGAAAAGGAAGCGATTATCATTTCAATGGTCCGATCAAACTCAAAGAAAGAGGTAATCCTTGAAATATTAGTCCTCTTAATTCCTTTCTGTTAATGTTCAAAATCTCAATTGCCATCAAGATTACGTGATGGTAAATGACTCATGGATTTTCTAGGTGGGGTTTCTGAGCGATCGCAGGCGAATGAATGTTGTGGTGACACGAGCAAGGAGGCAGTGTTGTCTTGTTTGTGACACTGAAACCGTGACTGGCGATGGATTCTTGAAGCGTCTGATTGAGTATTTTGAGGAGCATGGCGAGTATTTGAGTGCTTCGAAGTATGGAAATGAATAAACAATAATGGAAGAAGGATATTTCCTTCTTTGTCAAATGTCACTTGGTCCTAGATAACAAACACTGAAATTTATTCAGAAAACTGCACAGAATGCAGTACTTTGCATTCCACTTGATCCAACACGAAGGGACTCTGATGTTAAGAATTTCTGTGTGTCTAACATTTCCAAAACCATTTATTTATTTTGGATTGGATGTTAATGGATTTGTCAAAGAAAAGTTCTAAAATTTGTAAAAAGGGAAGGAAACCACTGTCCAATATGATATTGTGACCCTCATTGCTTCAGCAAGGCTAAAGTTGTTTTCTTAAAATTTACAATTTTATTACAATATTTTGCATCATCTAAAGTAAATGAAAATTTTTGATTTTACAAAATTTACTCGGATAATTTGACCTTTACGATGTCATATGTTTTATAATATTTTATTGAGAAATTTTTTTATTATCAATTTTTTTTTTACATCTTTGTATTCATGATGTAAAATAGAAGTCTTGGGTGTGAGCTCTCAAAGGAGAAACAGTGCAAGATTCACTAAAACCAACTGTTTGTGTGGGAAAAAAATCACAATGACTAGTCCAAACAAAAAAGGGGGTAAGTTACACTAACACCCTTTAAGTTTCTGTTTAATATAGATCTGCTCTCATATTTAAAAAATTATATTTTCCTCCTTGAGATTTGTAATTTCATTATAAATTATCCCTTTGATTTTTGATGTCATACTTTAAATTTTTTTAAATGACTATCTTTTCTTTTTTTTATCATTTTTTCTTCCTATCATCATGATTGTATTCTACAACTTTTTATTCTTAAATTTTACTTAAACATATTCTTATTGAATGATGATATACAAATATAAATTTTGTATAGAATTTTCAAACATAATGATATAGCTTAATGGTGGTCTTTCACTTTAAAACAAAACACCCATAAATATGATTTATATTTACAACAATATCACTATCACAATATTTTTATGATATTTTTTTGTATAAATTTTTATATATGAATATAAATTTTCATTTTTATTTTCACAAACATTTTTCTTTCTCGTCTATTCATTCACATTTATTACAGTATTGCCAAATATTGTCATTCACGTAAAATCTAACCAACCACCCAATAAAACTTGAAAGCACAAAAATATAATGCATATATATACGTTTATACAAAAATAATATCAACAAAAATGTACCCTCGTGGAGTTTGTAAAAATAATTTTTTGAGTTTTTAATTTACATTTTTGTATTTCTAATAATTTTTTTAATATTTTAATCAATTTATTTTTACTTTTTAGATCAATTTAATTTAGATATATTTAAAAGGTATAAAAATTTGTACAATTTTTTTTTTTTAAAAATCCATTGGATACAACAAAATAAGATCATATATGAATTTTATATTTTATATTTTTTTTGTATTTGGTAAATTTTTTTTAAAAAATAAGTGTATCTAAAAAATAAAATAATTACTTAAAATATTACAAAAATTCAATAAAAATACAAAAAATAATAATAATAAAAAAACACTCAATTTTTTTGTTGAGTTAAACCAATGAAGATTGTTATTTCCCTTAAAATAACATGAACAAAATATCTGCATGCTTATTATTTGATATGTATAAAAGCTAAAGAGCAAATATGTCATTTTAATCAGACATGGAGATAAGTGTAATTTTTCAAATATGAGTGGGAGATCTGTATTAAACAGAAATCTCAAAGGGTGTCAATGTAATTTATCCAAAAAAAAAAAGAAAAGAAACCTTATGGGAAATTTGGCTATAAACCCCTCTTACCTTCCTTTTATTGTTAAAAATTATACTTTTAAAACTCTCTCATAATTATAAAGTCTTGTATAAAGGACAAAATTTATTATTTAAATATTTTATCAGATTATTAGACCCTCTCTCTTTTCCAATCTCAGTCGATCTCCCCCATCGCCAGACCGAGAAGCCGCCGCTGATCCTTCGCCGAGTATCTCACCTCCGTTGCCACAACCATCGCCGTCGATGACTACAAAACCTCTCATCTTCCCAATCTTCTGCATTATTATCATGATCGGTTCGTGGTGTCTCACCAATGACGAGGTTGAGAAGAGAGTGTGCATCACTGGTTGGATTTTTCCACCAAAGGTTAGTTCTCACCGTCGGTTCACCACCGTCTTCGATGTCACATCCACTGCACCATTCTCAAATCTCTCTATCCCTTTCTCTCTTCTCAGATCCACTACACCCAAACCCTCATGTTTTTGCTCTATTCCTCGTGTCATTATGTTGGGAAGGAAAATGATAAAAACGAGTTTGAGAAAGTTAAAAGGCGAGATATTCAGATCTGAGAGCTTTAGATATAAAGGCAGCAATAGTGCACCAATAAAGTCCTTAGATCTGGTTCGTCATCGGTTGGTGGAAGTGGAGAGGGTACAAAATTTAAACTTTTATTTTGAATCATAATAAATTTTACTCTGATTCAGAGTAAAATTGTACTTTCAGAATAAAATTTTACTCAGAATTAAAGTAAAATTTATTATAATTTAAAGTAAAATTTTACTCTAAAATATACTATGAGAATAGCTTAATAGGAGAGCTGACAGATATGAGGATAGTATAATAAAAGAAACAAGTTTAAAAATATTAAAAGGTTTTGAAAGTACCTACATAATTCTTGTCCTTTTGAAAAACAAATTAGACAGTGAGAGATCTATCACCAAATCCCTCAAAAATTATCACCAAAAGGAGTAGTGATTGAGAAGTAAAATAAATTTTAAGTTGTATTTGAATTATAAATTTGGGTAGAAACTTAAAAAGGAAAATAAAAAATGTAGATTAAATGTAAAGCTCTGTTTGGGGATAGACTATTTTAGTTTAAAAGTAAAAAATCTAACAACTCTTTTTATTTTTTTACACGTCTTTCCATAAAAAATCAAAAAATCGACTTAATTCCCAAAACACCCCAAGTAAAATATAACTATATTTCATTTGTATTTTTCTCACTTTTTTTTTTTCTCTTTTTAAATTCCTACTCATATCATGAAATTACTTCAACTTAATTTTGAATACATAAAGCAAAAAGAGAACATGATGAAGTTTAAAAAGGGGAAGCCAAAAACAGAGTATATTTTTACATATGCAACAAACAGACCAAGTTGACAAAATTTCACTTTGACTTGGGGTTCGATTTGGGGCTTCCTTTGTAAATATTCCTCCATTTATCTTTGAGGTCTATTGAGGTTCGACCTTTCTGAAACACATCAACCCCAAATTCCAAAATCCTCTTCCATGGGATAGTTCTATCTTGAACACTTGAAAATCTATTCACACCCTCCTGCAAACAATGGTAATAATTATCAATGCAAAACGTTTCCAACAAACATTAATCAAAAGAAGGAAATAAACCAGAACAACAAGCCCAAAGATTGTGCTACTACTAAATCCATATGAATCCCAAGCAATGAAAGGTCAAAATGTGTGAAACAATTTTTTTTTTTTTTTTGCCTCTAGGTGTAAGCAAAGTTTCCTTATTCTCACCCTTGCAGCAAAGTTACCTTATCCTCACCCTTGCAGTGCTTCCAGATGCTATCTAGGGTAAAAAAAAAAAAATATATATATATATATATATATATATTATCAGCTAGCTAGTATCTAGGGTTAGAATCAGTAGGTCCAAGAGCACTGTGGCATGCCTATAATGTAAAATTTTTAGTTTTAAGTCACAGCAGCAAGAGTTAATAAGAGCGGAGACAAACTTCAGAGACGCCCAGTTAATGAGTACGACAATCATATATCCAGACCTACCCTTAGCCCTTAAATGCTAATTGAGAAAGGTTGAATAACACATTCCACTAGAGGAGAATTAATAAAGCGATCAAAAACTTAGACTCAAGTTTAACTCGATCTTGTATGGCCAGTTGCCATTATTTAAATCAACTTTTTTCATCTTTCTTTTTTGTTTTGGTTTACATTATCCCAAAATACTTTCCGTTGTCAAAATTTGACTAGAGAACTATGGAATTAGTGAAATCTGAGATGAAAATACTTTATGACTTCGCCTAGATTGGACATGATGTAATCTTATTACATTGCAGTAATAGCATATATGAATTATTGAGGAAAAAATATACATCATGCCCTCATGGTGCAGAAATATATGCATACAAAAAATATTTAAAAAAAGTACCTTTAGTATGACCTCTTCTGCAGCTGTCCATGGGAGTTTCTTTTGCCTCAACTGAGGAATTGCCGGGTAAGTGCTGCAGATTGGAACAAAGTTCATCCCTTATCAATCAAAATAGCAGCACCCAAATCCAACATCAGAGTATTCAAAAGACCAAGCGCATACATGAGGATGGGAGAGAACATACAGTTGTCGGACATTCAAATACTTGCAACAAATTAAAGTTGATAAAAAGGCAGATCAATTATTTAACAGAAATTTGCCAATTAAGAACATATTAGTGTTTGGATGCTGGTTAGAATAGAGTGATTTACTTTAGCATAGACATGCAGAAAATAAACACCCCTATCATCTACAAATACGACAAACTCACTACTTTTTTTCTTTTCTTCTGAGTGATCTGGAGTAATTAGAAGAGGTCTTATCATTTTCTTCTTCAGAACTTTCCTCTGCATCAGCATTCGGTGGACATGCAGCTTTTTGGGTTGAATCAGTAATCGGTTGTTGTAAAACTTCCTGTTGCTTTCCATCTCCAGCAAGTATCTTGGTCACATCGACAATCTCTGCGTCTCTGCAAGATGGATTATCTTCATGAAGCTTAGAACCAGACCGTTCATCAATCTGTTGTGTCTCCGCAAGTGTTCCATCATTTACGGTCACACCACCTTCTCGACAAGATAGATTGCCATTAAAGCCTGATACTGAAGGTTCTGCTTGTTGCTTAGCTTCTACATTTTCTCTGTATTGAGAACTATTGACTTCATCTACATGGTTTCCATTGTAGTTTGTTTGATTGTTTCCATTCACGTTGTCATCTCGTCTCAACTGATTTTGCTCTGATCTAAGAAATCTCTTACAAAGTTTGTTTGCCCGATGTCCATTCTCCAATCCAATGAAAGCAGCGAGATCTTTCCTAGCTAAAGACGCCTTTTTCTTGACTTCAAAGTACTTCAAAATTGCATGAGAATATGCACAAAAAGGGCAGTAAAATAGTGAAACTGTCATCAAAGCTGGGTGCAGAGCTCAAGCACCTCTGATGAACCACTAACGGACACGTGCTTGAACTACAAACCAATAGTTGACCACCTTCATTACACTTCATACAAAGAGTAAGCTCTGTACAGTCAGCTGTTGCCAGGGAATCCACACTGAATGTGCCCTGAGAGTTCAAGAAAGTACGTTTCTCCATGGCAACATCAACCTTCTCGTCCTGATAACCATCACTATCGCTAGACATTTCTTGTATAGGATTATGTACCATGTCATCTTTGGCACTGTCAGGAAAATAGTTCTGGAAGGATCCATCATTAAGTACACCATTAGATGTATATAGTTGGGCCTTCTCACACTTATCTCTGGCTTCATCAACACAAATACTTTGATGGGTTTCGTCTGGAGGTGCAGCATTTGATGTTCCCATTTCAGCACAATCCTTGCCATCATCCTTGGCTCCATTAACAGGGAGACCACAATCTGGTCCATCTCCAGATGTACCTAAAGGCACTGTATCGTTGTTACAAGAAATCTGTGGATTAGTACGCTGATCATGATTGTTTTCTGAGAACCTGTTTTCCTCCGAGCCTCCCACTTGAGATAATATGGCCAACTCAGACCCTTCTCTTACAGTATTTTCTCCATCTCTTCTAGATGAATCTTCTGAAAGTTCATTTCCAATTATAGGAACAGACTTCTGACCAACTGCCTCACTGGTACAAGCAGCGTCCCTTTTGAGCTTCTTGCCATTATGCAAATGGGGATCACAACCATTGTCCATATTGATAAGATCTTCATTGGATTTTGCAGACTGATTTTCAGTATCCAAGTCACTCCTATCCCTCTTAGAGGGTAACAAATCTCTATTAGGTGAATCTTCTCGCAAGAGGCCATCCAAATTTTCAGCGGTTGGAGCAGTTAAGTTCCCTCCTGCTTCCATAGTTGCACTATCACTGCTCTTCTCAAGTCTCCCTGGGACTGCTGCATTAAGATCATCATCATCCACAGTGATTCTATTTTCAGACTGATTGCCAATTGATAATCCACTCTTTTCCTTCAAGGATGCAAGAATTCGATGGTTTCCTTCAAGAATTGCATCCTTCAGCTGTTTGTCAAGAACGAACATGGGTCAAATCACCAACAATAAATGACAGGGTTTTATATAATAACCTCACAAATTTATACATCAATGAAAGAGATTCCTTTCTACCTGTTGTAAAGTGGTTTTTGGAAAGCAAGCTCTTTTATGCTTAATAAAGTTCTGAACATCCCATTTCAACATCTCTGGTCCATCCATTTTCAGATTTGATGCAGAGATCTGACAATCAAATACTTGCAACAAATTAAAGTTGATAAAAAGGCAGATCAATTATTTAACAGAAATTTGCCAATTAAGAACATATTAGTGTTTGGATGCTGGTTAGAATAGAGTGATTTACTTTAGCATAGACATGCAGAAAATAAACACCCCTATCATCTACAAATACGACAAACTCACTACTTTTTTTCTTTTCTTCTGAGTGATCTGGAGTAATTAGAAGAGGTCTTATCATTTTCTTCTTCAGAACTTTCCTCTGCATCAGCATTCGGTGGACATGCAGCTTTTTGGGTTGAATCAGTAATCGGTTGTTGTAAAACTTCCTGTTGCTTTCCATCTCCAGCAAGTATCTTGGTCACATCGACAATCTCTGCGTCTCTGCAAGATGGATTATCTTCATGAAGCTTAGAACCAGACCGTTCATCAATCTGTTGTGTCTCCGCAAGTGTTCCATCATTTACGGTCACACCACCTTCTCGACAAGATAGATTGCCATTAAAGCCTGATACTGAAGGTTCTGCTTGTTGCTTAGCTTCTACATTTTCTCTGTATTGAGAACTATTGACTTCATCTACATGGTTTCCATTGTAGTTTGTTTGATTGTTTCCATTCACGTTGTCATCTCGTCTCAACTGATTTTGCTCTGATCTAAGAAATCTCTTACAAAGTTTGTTTGCCCGATGATTGATGAGGGAGGGTGACGACACAGACGAAGAATATGACCTACAAAGTGATTTTGATACAGATGTTGATGTAGAATCTTGAATTTGGTCGTGCTTTAGTTCATGCCATAATTTGAGCAATGTGAATGTTCAATTGGTGCACAAATGCAAAGGAAACTCAAAATAATGAAGGGGGATCTGTCTTCGTCAATGTCAATAAACTCAGAAATCAATGTGTGTTTAAGGCAGCTAATCGAAAC